GCGGAGAGTACGGAAATAATCGAATTCTTCTTGCGAATTTAAATCGTTCGATGTGCGTATGGAGAGGAAAAGGTAACATTTCATTTGACGCATGACGCGGTGCAAAACAAAATGTAAGACAACAGACTGTCGCATAACGTCGCACCTCGAGATTTTTCACTGAATCTTCAAGTCGAACGGTACTAATCCTTGAAAGTTACCACGAAGGAAAATCCTGTCACGGGCGAAATTTCACCCCGGCGTATATATTTCTCCTCATTTTAGAAACAAAAAGGTCAAGCAAACGCAATTGAACGCTGTGTATTATTATTAGGTGGAAAGTAGAGAAGTTGTTGCTCGCAGCGGAGATAATTTAACAATTAACAAGAACGCAACGAAACTCGCACGGGGTGAAATTTCAGCTGTAGCAGCCTTCAAGGGTTAATACGGAAACGACATTTCGACTCGGGGACGGGGCGGTTTCTGACACAGGTCGAGAAACGGTAGCCGTGGAAAGAACAGAGAGAATTAGTGCCCTCATGTGTATTCATCGTGGACACACTTGTGCCCTATACTTACATTTTTATACCGACATTTGCACTCGCATATTTACATATTTACGCTCGCGCAGCTTTGCCCGATTCGATCGAGATATAAATAACGACGACTACCGGCCGCGCCGTTCCGCGATTAGCGCAACTATCGATACGGCGCCCCTGCGAAATCCACGCAATTTCTGCGTGGCCGAACGACGGTTGATGCCGACGATGATCGCAAGCTAAACTCGATAAACCTGACGCGATCGTATCGTATTCGTGTTACGGTGTTAGAGATATGCAAATGATTATTAATTATTAGCGCGTTGATCGTTATGTCGTCGACGCGGCGTACCGGATCGGTACACGTATGTGTAATCCCCCACCCCCCCCATTACCTCTCTCTCTCTCTATCTCTCTCTCTCTCTCTCTCTCTCTCTCTCTCTCTCTCTCTCTCTCACTCACTCACTCTCTCTCTCACTCACTCACTCTCTCTCTCACTCACTCACTCACTCATCTGGCAGATCGGCGAAACATGATAAACTTTAATTAGGGAATGTATTAACGCACCGAGACGACGGTACGCCGCGTAGGACGGCGAGCAGAGAGCGGCTGAGTGAGTGGTTAGCAAGCAGGTGCGCGGATAATTATACGTTTCCCTCGTATATCGTCGCATGCTACCGGAATAATTAAGTAAAACTGATGATCGTCCTCTTTGCTGCGCGACGCTCTCCTTCTGTCTACCCCGGGAGGAGAAGAGCCGCGGGGCGCGGCGCGGCGCGGCACGTCCGGTGTTCTCCTGAATTTTTAATTTAGGCGCGCGGAAGCCCGGCGCGAGAAATTAACCTCGTTATTATGGCCCTTTTGTACCACCGGAATACCGCTGCGCGCCCCGGCAAATTAAGCCCGCGATTGGCCGGTCTGCGAGCGGCCGCAATTAATCCATCGGAGCGAGCGGAGAGCGATGGATTCATTCCCGCCGATCGTCGCTGATGACTTCTGAAGACGCGTAGCTCGGTTCTACGGCGCAATGTGCACCCTTTTTCAAGGCGACATGTAACGCGCGCGCGCGTACACACACACACACACACACACATATATCTCGGTTGGAGCGGTAACGGTTACGTGGGTCGAGCGCGATATTTCTTAATAAGCCGCGATCGTTGGCACGCACGATCGCGATATTTCTTCGGGATCGCTGCGCGGGCCCGGGCTACGTGCCGCCGCGCTCCCGCGAACGTACCATAAATATCTAAATGGCGGAAGTAAGAAAAATTACGTATTTACGTCGCGGCGTAGAAATAACGGCGGAACGCCCGGCTCGTGTTTTGTTCGCGGCGATGTTTCGTGAGAGGCACGATTTTCCGGAATGCTCCCGCGCGACGTGACTCATCGCCGTTTCGTCGAATCCGCGGCGGAGGAGCAGTCTTCGGTGCGGAATCGGGAGAGCATTAGATCGCCGGGAAACGATAGCGCTTAATAAGACGCCGTTGTTAACACGCAGCGCCGCGATATATCTTTCTGAGATTCCCCCTCCTTCCCTTCTTTCCCGCGGCACGGAATGGCGCCGTGTCGCCATCGAGCGCGGCGGGGCAAAAATCGCGAGATGTTCGCGTTTATTATTAACCTCGCGGCAAATTCCGAACGTCCACGCCGATACTCCTTGCGAAAACTTTATGCTGCCCGCAAACCCACGGACGCGCGTATCCGTCGCCGAGTGTCTCGTGAACGGATCTGCGGTCCGAGGTTACACCTGTCGACAAGATCTACGAATTTCGCGACGAACCTGAGAAGACGTCAAACCAGGTAATAGAACGTCGTCGTCGAGAGTGCACACACGAGTGGAAACGACTCGGAGCTCGTTCGGAGCCGAATACATACGGCGATAATGAGCTTCTCTCTGGCACTTTTTTTCACCTCATGAATAAACACGGCACTTGACGGGTTATTAAGCGGCGCTCGGGAAACGCAATAACTCGCGAGATATCGAAAGTACAATCTCCTTATCATCTATATTTTTCGAGGCAATTAAACGTGCGCGAGGAGGAACAGAGACGATAAACTCGAAAAGACCCGAAAGGTCGTGCGAAGCTTCGGAAATTAAACGAGTAACGTAGGTTTCCCTTGTCTCGAGATACGCTTGTCACGCTACACGCTTCGTTCGCGATAATACTTAATTGGCTCTTTCGGCCATGTCCCGAGGAATAATTTCTTCCCGGAGAAAGAGAGAGAGAGAGAGAGAGAGAGAGAGAGAGAGAAAGAATCGCCCCTCCCTCCCCAGAGCGATTCGGCAGAAGGTAAGATCGGCAGGGCGCGATACTTCTCGGCGAGACGTCGTCGCTCGCGCGCACGCACAATGGCGATATTTCTTGCCGCTAAGTCGCGGGCTTGGCGGGTCGTCGCACACGTGGAGCGTCCGGGCCAATTACGAGCGTGCGCTCGCGCGCCTGATAAATAAATAAACAACGCCTAACCGCTGCCGCCGATTAAGCGCGCGCGCGCGCGCGCGCGTTATGCCACGCTCGTGACGCGCGGCCATAACGGCTCGTCGTCCCGCGAACTTTCACCGCGCGATGCGCGCTGGAATAACTCTCTCTCTCTCTCTCTCTCTCTCTCTCTCTCTCTCTCTCTCTCTGCCTCGGCCTGCGTGCAAGCGCAAAAGAACGAAGCGTAATGAGCGGCCCGAATAAGCGCCGCGACATAGCTGCCAACTTGGGTGAAATTTCAGCAAATTTGGTGATTTGTTCACATTTTGGAAATTGGTGACATTTTTCCGGGAAAAGCATAAATCTGGTGAATTTTGACAGCCGGTACTGAGAAAAATCTCCACAATCGAATGCGAAGAAAATAGTTGACTGTGATTGATCAATTTTTTTACAACTCGAGGCTTACCATATCTATTGTAGAACCAGTCTAAAAAGAGAGTGGCCAACATTCTCTGATTGGCTGATTAGTATATAATTTCCACGAGTCCTTTGATCGATGGGTGCATTCAGTATTACAACCGCTCCCTGAGTACTAACTGAGCTCTCGCATTTGATTGGCGTATATTTTTAGATCTAAAGGAATAGGCCAATCGGATGTGAAAGCTCAGTGCGTTGTAATATTGCTAGAATGTACTTGTTGGCTACGTTTCAATATTCACAAATATATTCGCAAGAAAACTATTCAGTGAGAACTTAGTGACTTTATCTCTGATTGGTATATTCTGTTGAATTTATCAAAAGTTCTAAAAGAATAATCACCAATAATCACTGAGCGTTCACTGCTTTCTCTGCTGAACGCGATCATTTTATCTTTGTTTCTCATTACAAAATCGACAAATCTGGGTAATATATATATATATATATATATATATATATATGTTATATATTATATTATATATATATTATTATATATATACTCATAATTCTAGGTTTGCGCGTGCGATATTATTACAAATAAATAAGAAAATTCAGTTTTAGCACAGTTGGTGAAAAATTTTGTCAATTTGGTGAAATTGTTAGCTATTTAGTCGTTTGGGGAAATTTGAAGAATTTTTGCGTAAAGATTGGTGAAAAAACAATAATTTTGATCTGCGTCGGTACCGCCTGCGCTGCACACGCCGCGACTCTACCTGGCCGGCGCGGTGCGCGTCACGAGAGCCGGCTGCATTAACTTCACACCGCGAACGCGCCGGCTCCGGAGATTTCTCTCCGTGCTGATTGCGACAGGAGCGTCGCGCGCGCGCGCGCGCGCGTCAACCATTCTCATTTGCCGCGCGGAGCGGGAACGTAATCGGGACGTGAAATCGGCTGATTTCAGCCGCTCTCGACACCGCCGTGGAAACGCATTCTCAAAACGGATGGATACGAGCGCCGCGTTATTTTTTCTCTCCCTCATTTTTCTTCCCCTGTTCTCCAGGGATGTGTGTACTTCAAACTCGCCAGGAAATTCCGGAGGTGAAGGAATCGAGCGAGCAGGAATGAATTCCCAATCGGATGGAAATTGCCGTTCGAAGTAACGCGCTGCGCATCTTGGCGCTGATTAAATAGTCCGCGGCCGAAGTGCGCGGAAAACTTCCCTTTCCCGCGTATGTACGGCCGTTCGACTGACCTTTCGACTTCGTATTTACGAGTATTATGGCCTCAATGCGCGGTAATTACGTTGGAAGCGGCGATCGGGAATCGAACGCGATCGGGGATTACGCTCGCATCGACGCATTGAGCCCGCAGTCCGAAGTTTTACACCGAGGCGTATTTTAACGCGTTATCGAACTTTCATGGCGAGAGAATTCTCGCTCAGCAGAGGCAAGCTCTTGCCAAGGCAAAACGGTCAAAAGGGAAATACAATAGAGGAGAAAGCAATGTGTTTTTTTTTTCTTTTTCCAATAATACGAAGCAGATACGCCGCCGTTACCTATCCTCGCGCACTTTTAGAAATGTCGCGCACGCGGCTTCGTTAATTTTCCCTTTCGCGACTTTTCTACTAACTTCTCGCACTCACCTTGGGGTCGAAGTTGAAGACATGCTCGGGCCTGAACGGGCACTCGAGGCCACATTTGCAGGTTCCCACTGTCGTCAGATACTCCTTCAGTTGGTCCAGCGAACCCAGCGCCGTACTGCTTGGACTGAAAATAAAGAAATGAGCACAGCATTATCCTCCAGTTCTCTCTCTCCCTCTCTCCCTCCCCCCCCCTCTCTCTCTCTCTCTCTCCCTCTCTCTCACCGCGGCTTAATACCGCGCAAACAAAATATGACGCGTACGCGACGTGAATTGCGCGATGTTTGCCGAGCTTAGCGAACATGTGTCGTTTGTTCTTTTTCTTTGTGGCACCAACGACTGCATTCCCATTATCATCAACAATACGTATTATCCGTGCGAAATAACGCGCAAACTGCGCAGCCACGCATTTCGTAACTCACGAAATACGCGCGCGGCTCCTCTCTTTCTCCCTCTCCCTCTCTCCTCTCTCTCTCTCTCGCTCTCTCTCTCTCGCTCTCTCTCTCTCTCTCGGCGTCTCTTCTTCGCGGGCGATTCGTTTCATTTGATAACGTGGAATAAACGGTGCGTGTTCTCTTTTTTTCACCGAAGCTGTTATCGCGATAACACGCGGTGGATTAGCCGCGCGGTATCCAAAAGTAACTGCAAATAATACATACGCTCCGCGCTAAGCTCGAAATTCAAAGTGGGAATGCGAGAGCGGTTAACAATTGTCCGAGGTAAAATTAACGCGCGCAATTCTGCACACGTGTACGTGTGCATGTCTGAGAGGTGGTTCTTGCAAATGATAGATTTACTCCGCTTTCTCTTCCTCTTTCCCTCTCTCTCTCTCTCTCACCCTCTCTGCCTCTTGCACTCTCCGAACGTCTCAATCAAAGATCCGATGCGCCACGACGATTTTACATTTCAATTTAAAGCGTAAATTGAGAACGTCCGACCGCGTTGCCGGTGGGATAAATTACAGGTTAAACTACTTAATCGAGGCAGATGCTCGCCAGACATCTGCAAAAATTATCGGGAAGCTCGAAACGCAGCGCAGATGCTATTCCATGATAAAAATACTTATTAAATTCTGCAGAAGGAGAAAGAAAAACAAACGACGCGAGAAAGAGAGGAAAAGCCCTAGGTGTATTCGGGCTACGTCCGGGATTTATGTTAAAAAAATGTTGCTGACGTTGCTGCAGCGACAGTTGCGTGCACACACACACACACACACACACACACGTCACGTCGTGACCGTGTTATTTTTATATTATGGAATTTGTTTTTTTGAGGTCAGAGGATTGAACCAATTTACCTCGGGACGGACAAGTCTGTGTGAAGTGTTTGTTAAATGTTTGCAAATGTAAATTTAGTGTTGAAAGGAAAGAATAAAAGGAAGGAATGAAAGGAAGAATAAAAATGAAAAAATTTAAACGAGATAATTTAAATTTTCCTTAAGAAAGGCTACTAATCGATGAATTAAATAACACTTTATACGTAACGGTTTCGAGTTAGAATTAGAATTCATGAAAACAATTAACATTCAACTCTTTATCCAATTATAGACAATTAATATTCAACTCTTTATCCAATTATAATAAATGATATTTATATACGACCATCAGAAATGATTTGAGGTATAAGGTTTATATTTCAAATCGCTCTTTGAGAATAATGACCTTGAACTGAGCTGAGCTTAATCGAAGTATCATTGGGAACCGCTCGTTTTGGTTCTTTGCCATCTACTTTTATAGACAGGTGGTGAGAAACTCCCCCGCGCGAGTTATCCACCACCACCAGTTTAAGAAGGGGAAAGATGGGTCTCATATGACATAAGAGTAATAATTAATATCTATTGTTTGTATCTGATCTGAATTCCATTTGGTTATCAAGCGTATCAAGAAATATAAGAGTTAATCAATAATGACTGAAGGTATGAAAGTACGAATAAATTTGTTATTACTTTACCTTGATCTGTATGCTTCTGTTATTGAATTGAAAAGTTACGCGGACGTAAACTAAGAAATCAAGCGTGTGAATGTTGTCACAGCTTATGAGTAAATCTCATAAGAAGAGAAGCAAATCCGACAGAATGAGGCAGCGGGGACTTGCACTTGCGACTCCCCGCGATCGGGCTATCCGATTGAAACTATATTAGACGTAAATCGAAGGGGGGAGAAAAGATATCCGAGAAGGCTGTTGGCGAAAAGGGTGTCCGAGGATGCTGCTCGCGTAATCGGCTCCGTGATGAAAAGTGATCAGACTCGAGAGCGCGCCTCGAGGGGAGGGGGAAACACGAGATAGGCGTATTATAATTTGGCCGACCGCCTTCGCTAGAGGGAGAGGAGCTGGCGGACGCGGAGGCAGAGGAGAAACAGGAGGGTGCGGATGGGGATGGTTTATTAGCTAAAGATACTGCTTGTCTGCCGGCTAACCTGGACGCCTGGAACGAACGGAACAAGTAAGCGGGCCGCCGCTTACTCTCGCCGTCGGTTCGGGCTAAACCGACAAGGTGAAACGAGGCGGAGGTCGTCGCTTGTATATATTGATTACCCGCTAGAGAGAGAGAGAGAGAGATAGAGAGAGGGAGAGAGACTTTGTTTCGAGGTACTTTGCAGCTTCCTAAACTAATAACCTCGGGCATCTCCGTCCCCGGCATTATAACCCCGCGGGAAAAGACGAGGAGAGCATCTGCCCCTTCGTCCGCGGGAATCCTCGCGGCAATTATTTCTCGTGACAACAAGACGGATTCGTAAACCCACCGTGGCGCTAATTCGCGCCGCATTCGATTTGTTCACGGTGAAACGCCTCTCCGTCGTGCCACCCCGCACGCCACGGGATGGAGAGAGGCTCGCGCAAATTACCAACTTCATATTTTCACGCGGGCTAAGGGTAACCCACCCGAGAGATTCATCGTGAACCGCCACGCCGTGAGAATTATTCAAATGCGCCATCCCTCTCTCTCTCTCTCTCTCTCTCTCTCTCTCGCTCTTTCTCTCGCACAGCATCGCCGCAGCGAGCTTCGACAGTTGGACCCCGTTCGTCGCAATTGTCAGTTTCACAGTTAACTACTCGCTGATCCAACGGTCATTTCCGCGAATTTCAGTTTCCCCCGGGTGCAAATATACACCCCCTCGCCCTCGCGGAGCCCTCACGGACTCTCCCGCCTCTCGCGAAGAAATTTCGTCAAATTCCGCGAGCGCTCTCCATCTCGGCATCTCGACGCGACTTTTATAAGCAACACGGACTTAACTTTCCAAATCGCGCGACCTTAACGCGCGACCAGCGAGCCCCACGTGCTAAAATTCGCCTTTAAACGCGCTGTTAACGCGCAAGCATCGCGACCGCAGCGCGAGAGTGGGAGAGCGAGCGAGCGCGCAATCCGGAACTAAATTCGCCGACTCCGGCAAAGGAATAAACTCCGACACGAGCGGTCGCAGATTTCGGGAGCCACCCCCGTCGCCACCGCCGCTAACCGTTCGCGAGCTTTATCTCATAAATAATGCTGTAACACTCTCGCGCGCGCGCGCATCCTGGCAAAGGCCATTTTCTGTACACGCGCGCGTGCTCCACGACCGAATCTGAATGTACCGTCGCGAGGTACCATAAATAAAGGCGGAGAGGACGAGGGACTTCCTCCTATTTCCACCTTCCACGCGAAGTGCGTCGGAACGTGTTGCTGGTAACGGAGTGAGACACCGAGTTACGCCGGATGAATTATGTCCACTGGCTGGGCTGGCTAAGCCGCTTGTCCTCGTAAAGCATGCCGCCGCCGCGCCGCCACCGCCGTCGTCGTCGTCGTCGTCGTCGTCATCATCGTCGTCGCCCACCCGCGAAACTGGTGTCAGCCTTTCCGCCGCCACCACCCTTTCGCTCGCTCGTCCCTTTTTCCGGCATTTCCCGACCATCACCGCAGAATCGCGTAATTATTCTTGTTCGCGAGGACGCCCCTCGGCAATTCCACTTGGAAACACGAGTCTCGTCGCGAGGGCCGCTCTATATACATTTGTGTGTACGCCGTCCATTAGTTTCGATATGTTTCGCGATTTCCTCTTCGTCCTACAACCGTACGCGCTCTCTCTCTCTCTCTCTCCCTCCTCCGTCTCCTCCGAAGAGAGAGAGAGAGAGAGAGAGAAGAGACTGAAGAATACGTCTTCTTGCTTCCTCAATGGATATCAAACGACCCGCCCATCCTGGCAGCGAGCATGCCGAGACGTCGTCTACTAACTTCCCTAGCACCCTGGAACGGGCAGCAGCGGCGGCTCGACGTTGGCGAGGCCGACGACGTCTATTGAAATTAATGGACGACGGCGTATATAATTGTCTCCAGTAGCAGATACACAAATCTGAAGCTGCGCGCCGAAAATTACATGACAAAGCGCGCTCGATTATTCGGATTTACGACACTCCCGGGAACAACGGCGGGCCCCCCCCTCCCTCCCGGCCGCCGTTATGGAAATATTACGGAGATAGGAGAGGGCGCGGATGGCTGGCGGAACGAAAGTAATACCTGACGATTTAATCGGGTTAATTAACAAGCTGTTCCGCCCGTTTCGGCCCATTGCTCACGCCGCCGCGTGAAAAGCGCCGCCGACGCTGGCGAGGCTCGCGAGGGTGCTAAATCAGCCCCGAGATAAGTAGACTCGTTTACCGGGACGCGGCAATTGCCACCGGCTAGAGGCGCGCGCGTTACAGCGCGAGACATCACCGGGTCCATTAGACATCGCGTCCAACAGACGACACTTGCTTGATCGCGAAGGGAAGGCCTAAGGTTTGTAAGTTGGTAGGTTGGGACGGTCGACGTTTTTCTTCGGCGGGCAAGAAATGTCGTCGGGTAGAATGCGTCCGTCCGCATCGTTCCGAACGTCAATTCTCGACTATTATATCGGGTGACCGGAAAAGTTCGTGCGGTCTTCGTATGAGTTCGGCGCAACGAATCGGCGAATCTTGGGCTGAGACTTATCGGGCGCGCGTGTTTACGCGTCTCATGTAGCACAGATTTGCGCGAGTTAATTCGTGAAGTTTGTCGCGGCGGTGTAATTCGAGCGTGTTTGCTCTATGAATTCGACTCGGGTCAAAAGCTGCAGAAACACGTCGCGAGATATGCGTGGCGTTTGGAGAAGATGTGCCAAAAGGACGAACTGC